TTATTTATTTATTTATCTATCTATCTATCTATCTATTTTTCTTTCTTTCTTTATTTATTTATTTATTTCTCTCTCTCTCTTTCTCTCTCTCTTTTTATCTGTCCATCTATCTTTCTATCTATCTATCTATTTAACTATCTATCTATCTATCTATCTATCTATCTAACTAACTATCTATCTATCTTTATTTTTTCTTTCTTTCTTTCTTTCTTTCTATTTATCTATCTATTCATATATCTACCTATCTACCTACCTACCTACCTATCTATCTATCTATTTATTTATTTATCAATCTATCAATCTATCAATCTATCAATCTATCAATCTATCAATCTATCAATCAATCTATTTATTTATTTATTTATCTATCTATCTATCTATCTATCTATTTGTTTATTTATCTATCTATTTATCTATTTATCTATCTTTCTATCTATTTATTTATATATCTATCTGTACATATTCTTATTTTTAGTTTAGTATATACACCATGTAGAACAGAGTCGGATAGTCTTCTTGACTTAAGACATTTGCAATAATAGGTTTCAGCACTAAGGGTGTCCATCCTATGATGTTTGAAGGCTTAATCATGTTAAGCCCGAAACGAAGGAGGCTTTCTCGGGAAGATTTCTGTATCGAATGTAGTTTAAAGCCCAACGACTGCAGAACAACTGGAATCAGCAGTTGTCTTCCGGTGAGTTCAAGCAACGAATTTCTCAATTCGAAATTTCATACGAAATTATGGTCTTCACAACATTGTAATCACGCTGTTCTATGAAGAAGTATTTTTGTCAATGACTAACAAATTTCGAGCTTGAATACTCAGGTTTTAAGCGTTTCATCATCTTCTTCTTTAGTCTTAAAGTGTACTGTTTATTCCCTCAAGGGAAAAGCCTATAGATTCGTCCATTTACTTTTTTATGCTTATCTAAAAATGATAGAGACAAACGTCGTAGGTTGCGATTGCATTCAACTGGCTCGTTGAACGTCTCAGGTTCTTTCTGGGTTGCGCAATTCAATCAATACGGTCTCCAATAGGGATGCATTATCCTCCGAGCCAAAATCACGAGCAGAGAGTAAGTAACTGCCAAGATTCAGGTACTTAACCCCTTGAATCGAATGCATAAAATAATGGACTATCCAGCCGAATGCACACGCTCTTTGCGAGAGCTGTAAACATTTCTAAAAGCCCACAATCAGTGAATTTCCATTAAAATTGTGGAGCTACTTTTGTACCAGTTACTGAGCAACTGGGGATATCTTTCGAGAAAAGTTGCGCCTGATTCTTGTTAGTGAATGTGTGTCACCAGGAGACTGATTATTTTTCAGACATACCGGTTTCTTTTGTTGTTACTACCCGAGATGGAATAAAGATTTTGGCACTGAATTTCAGCCTAATGCGCCTCCAGTGGAATTCGTATCGTGGATGAGCGGGTTCAGAGTAAAACAAGTCAGTCACTAGATCACGTGATCCAAGTTAGATTGTGGTACTTTTAAAGTCGTAGTTAGCTCTTTCAGTCTCACCTTATTTGGTAGGTAATTTAATACAAATTGTCCTCGGGAAAGCTCTGCTTAACGCCAGTGATTCACGTGACTTTGAGTTAAACGATTTCACGAAACTCACTTCTATCTCTGAGGAACTGTGTCTGGATGTCGTCGTGGGGAGGTTCGTATCAAAACTTTAGGGTCTTGGAGCATCCAAGTTTTGACGATGTTTGTCACGGTGAGACAGACTGAGGGTCACAAGAAGGAGTGCCGAGGACTTTTTTGAACTAATCCTCAGCACATTTTCGATAAGGCCAATTCATGTATCCTTTCCATTCGCCTCTCCGAACGAACTGGTCTGTACGACAACATGAATCTATTGAGATTTTCTATTAAAAGTCTCTGCCAGAAAACTATTTTCTGTCCCTATCCGGCTAAGCGCGATCCTCTTTTGACAGTTTTCTTTGCTGGAAGTGTTATTACATGACCGTCCTAGTAACCAAAATTGTTTTTGATGTATAGCTAAAGTGTATGCCGGATAGACTCCTTTGACCTGGAATTCAGCAGACGTCATAGTAAACCAATAAGGGCAAATATTGAGTCTTCATGGACTCTACTGAGCCTTAATTGGTTAGTCTGTATCAACTCATATTACCCATTTTTGGGTCATGAATGATAATTTCTAGATTAGCGTTTGCAGGCACAGAGACGACCGGTACGGGAAACAAAAAAGATGGCGTCCTATTGCATGGGCTCAGTGATGAGGCTTTGCGCCATACAGCACCGAAGTACAGATAGTCCAATTCGTAAATAGATCGCCCTTTGCAACTCGCCAAGTCAGTCAGTTGGTAAAAGTAAAGTCCAGACGGTGTCAGTAGGAAGTAGTGTTAAAGTCAAAAGGATTTCAGTTAATCATTTATGCTGACAGCAGTAAACCGATCTGCGAAAGATCGAGGCTTGAAACCGAATTAAGATTGCCAGCTGAGCCATATTTGTTGGAAAGACGCACTATTTTTTAATAGATTCGCAAGGAATTACTACGATTTTACTTTTACTGCACCGGAGAGTTTTCAGTTGCAGTTACCCTCCCTCATCCATACATCACAGAGCAAGTAGCATTCTACTTTTGTTGGCCTTTTGATTGGAGGAGACTGAAGTTTTCGACTGGTTCATTTCAGATGCCAATGTGTGATGCCTAAAGTGGAGGCCAGCCTCTTGGTATGATGCATGCAGCTGTGAAATCCGGTACACAATCGGGCCATGTCAGTCGGTTCAGCGTTGCTGAAGTCGCCATCAGCTCAGCAATGCGCTTGCAAAAGGGTGCAAATCAGCCTTAATCGCTCATTCTTATTCCATATTTTCCTTTCGAGACTAGCCCTAAATCAGTAATATGAGATGTACTTACTCTATTTCGTCTAAGCTGATGAAGAAATGGTAGTAGAATTTTCCCATAATGATATGGGTTGAGCTGACGTTTCCATTGAATTTCACATAGAATCGCTTTCCCACTCGGCTACACGACCACGAGCGTCTTTTGGGTCACATGGCAAATGTGAATTTCCAAGGAAGGCCAAACCTTTTTGCCATACCATATTCTTTTGGTGGAATTGTCGAGTATTATACTTTATTTTTCGAATTGAGCATTGTTTTCGTGACTACCAGTAAATCAGTAATATGAGATGTACTCACCCTATTTCGTCTAAGCTGATGAAGGACTGGTAGTAGAATTTTCCCATAATGATATGAGTTGAGCTGACGTTTCCATTGAATTTCACATAGAATCGCTTTCCCACTCGGCTACTCGGCCACGAGCGCCTTTTGGGTCACATGGCAAATGCGAATTTTCAAGGAAGGCCGAACCTTTTTGCCATACCATATTCTCTTGGTGGAATTGTCGAGTATTATACTTTATTTTTCGAATTGAGCATTGTTTTCGTGACTACCAGTAGATCAGTAATATGATATGTATTCACCTAATTTCGTTTGGGCTAATGAAGGACTGGATGAGAAAAACTTTTGGAAAAGCAAGGCTATGAGAAATTCAATGGAAACCTCAGCCCAACTCATGTCATTGTGGGAAAATTATACTACCAGTTCTTCATCACTTTAAACGAAATTGGGTGAATACATCTCATATTCTTATTCCACTTGCATCCATGGCACTTTTGCTTCTTTTCATTCGGAACCATCTCCATTCCGGGCCGAAGTTGATCGAATGCATTTGATGTCCCTCTTTGCACATTCTCCACATGCTCTTTTCATGTGCCGATGACGACTGGGGCCTTTATGGTCAAGATTGAATAGGCAGACCAGTCTCCTTCAAATTAGCCTGTTTCGGTGTAGTTTGTAGAGTGGGACATTTTCCGGGGCGAAAGTGGGCGATATTCTGTCTCAAAGAAGGCTTTCATCTCTGCCGAACGCGCATTCTGATTCGGTTCGGAGAGCATTTCAAAGCCCTCTTCCCAATGAGTTGTGCCGCAATCGCGCACGTCTGCAAACGTCGTCGCCATCCATTGGTCTGCCAGTTGAACACCCCTCGTCGGTCTCCCTTTCGGCCACTCGTCTGATCGGGATAATTGAAAAAGTACACCCAGAGGACATCTTCCATGGCGGCAGTCGAAAGTCCGGCATCATTTTGCAGAGTCTACAAACGGGACCACCGAGTCGTGCTAACAACGAGACTCTGAACGGCCATGACGACAGCCAAAGCTCCTCTACAACTTGTACTGATGAGGTGAAGTGGATACAGGAAATGAGGACACAGACAATCATTTCACTCCAATTATGCATGCCCTACAGAACCGAAAAAAAGGGGACATGAATAACCAACTCGACCGAGGCGACATTAAAGCAGTTTTTCACACGAACCAGCTAATTACACTGCATTTTCCCACTTTATAAAGCTGCCTTTAGGCTGGCCAACTGCCAAGTATCTATGCACCCTTAGCCGAGAATCCCCTGCTCCATGTCAAAGGGTACCGGCAATGTTGCCTATTCCCTATCGAGTGCAAACGGCCATCCAAGTCTGCAAATTTCCCTTCCCCAACCTGCAGAAGTGCACCTGCCAGGACGAATTCCTGAACAATTGAACTCATCCAAATTAGGTCGCCGTACTTACGATGCCTTAGCAACTATGATAATTATCCTGGAAACCGAGCTACACAGAAGCCCGTCATGGTATCACTTGGTACCAGGACCTAGAATCAAGCGAAGCATGATCAGCCTCGTGCCAAGCCAGCATACAAAACATCGCTCTCTGTCCAACCTTGATACACTTGCCCATAATATATATATATATATATATATATACTTTTTGCATTTTTTATTTTTTATATCAACTCATAGACCTCAAAGGGCGTAGTGGTGAGATACTACTCTGCGAAGGCTCTAAGGCATTCCTCATAAAAGTGTATGTTTTCCGTCCGAAAGGAAAAGCCACACTTTTGACGAACTACTTACAGGATTCGAGGAGTAGAGAGAACCTTGTAACCAAGTCCCATTTGGAGGCTAAGAATCGGGCTGATCTAGGCTGAGAAGAGGGGACAACACGGATACAGCCTAGTCGTATATTATGACATGACTTTTTATCCCAAAAGGGAAAGTTGTCTAGAAGAAATTCGTGAGGTAGCCTCACCGGAAACCGAACAAGGATGACCAAGGCTGGCTGGCGCTCTTTCCTAAAGCAAAGTTCAGTGAATATGGTCACGGATATCAGAACCATATTTATTTAATTTAATTAATTCCTTATTTTAGTTGTGAAATAGAACCTTTTTGCATGAGGAAAGTCCATATCGATGTTCGGCATCCTTTAATAATAGGGCAAAAGTGTATAGTTTCAACTTAGACAAATGTATAAAACAGACTCCCTAACAATGCCACGAGAAACTAAGAACTGTATGCTAAATATAGAGTATATCGCGAAGCCAAATGGATCATTCGTATGGTCTATGCACGAAGAGGGGACCTGAATGTCGTATTAATGCGAAACGGCTGCAGAGCAACGAAAATCACTCGTCGACTTCCGGTTTGAGCGACCTATGAACCTCTTCTCCTTTCAATTTCATATGAAATGTGGTTCTCCACAACAAGGTTGCATTAAAAGATTTATCGAAACCTTTCTGTCATTTGTCTTCTCTTCACACTAAAACCAAGAGCACTGTTGCCCGTTGCGAGTATGCATAGCGTGTATATCACTTTGACACAGCTTTTGCCCGTTTTCACTCGTAACTAAGGAGGTTGCCTTGTGGACTGGGTCCTACTGGACTTGGTAGAAAAGCCAAACACGGCTGCAGAACATTGGGAATCAGCCGTCGTCTTCTGATGAGATTGATCTACTCTTCATCTTACTATATCATATAACAATAAAAGGATCATCTCACTTGGTTTTATTCGGAAACCTAAACGTCAAGCAATCTAAACTCACATAAAAAGACAGAAATTAGCAATTTAGGAGATTCTGCCTAGTTTTAATCAGTATCCAGGCTCTAGCCGTACAGACGTCCTAATTACTCTGAGCCATCACTGCGGGTTTCGTGCATAAGCGAGCACAAACAGACACATACACATATAGAGACAGACACACTCACAGGCATCGAAGTTGACATATGACCGTAACTAACCAAATCACTTTATAGTTGCTCAAGATGTAGAGTATATATACCACTTTTAGGGTTTTGCCGGTCAGTTTTCTTGACTCGTTAGATTTAATTTTGTTGTGACGATGTTACCACGCGCTGATAATGTCCGTCAAGAAGAATCCGCTGTCGTCTTCTGGTTGAACCAACCTTCGAATCTCTTCACCCAACACTTTCACTTGAAATGGAAGTAAGCTCAACAATTAAAAATTTCGCACACACAACCACGTGGACTTAGCTTTGTTGCACTTCATTTAGTTACCTCTTCATCTTTGCCCATGCCCGATCTTAATTTGCATTCCGGCAACAAGGGTGTGTTATTCCAGAAGATGCAGAGCTCATTAAGAATTGACTATGATGCTTCAAGAATCTGTCTGATAACCAGGTCTATTCATTGAGAATTGCTTTTTCCTAATGTTTCTATCCTCCTGGGCTGAAAAGATTCATTATTTTGGCAAATCTCTCCGTGTAAATGCAATTACAAGTGTCACCTTTGGGGAACAATGCTGCCAGAAAATCTCTCAACAGCTCTCATGACCATGTAGTTGGGCTCTCTCCATGTTCTTTTTGTCTCAACTACTTCATCTGGTGGAGCAAGAGAGAATATGTTTTTTTTCTTTAAGACTAGCATTACACACAGAATGCTTGTCGCTAAGGCCAGATGAGACGGGACGTCGCATGTCCCGTTGGTGTTGGCTGTGTTGTACCAGCGTAAATTAACTCCCAGCTTATTTATGCCATTGTAAGCGGGAGTGATATTACATAGAAATATATTAATATGCTATAATAAACTGTAATACAAATTGAGAAACGGGCGTGTTTGCTGTCCAAGAGCACGGAAACTGTTGATTTCTGACCCACTCGGCCAGTTCCCCTTTAGAAGTTGAGTTTTATGACAGGACTTGTGCTAGCCAATGTATGCGAACGGGTCCGAGAACCGTATTTATCTAATGCGTTTCAGGCATGGATCATGGCTAATTGTGTCGTGAAGGAGGGAAAAGTCTTCGCAGAAACAGGTGAACAACTTAAGCTGGCCTGACCAAGTGTACAGGACATGCAAAAAGATGCACTGCCAGAAAGAAGAGCACTTTGATCATTGTCACTCAAGCAATTGCATTGGGAAGCCTGCGACTGAAATGAATATTAATGCCTGGTGAAAGCAAAGTTAGAACGTGTCAGCTAGAAAAGCGTTTATGTGATGAGCTGAAAGCATTTAACTGAAGTGGATTAACGTTACAAGTGCCCCAGTGGTCCCATGCTAAATAATTCACACGTTTAAAGGTAGCAAGATCCCAGCTCTGCTAGACAGGGGCGTGTCTGTTTGGCGTCGTGGGCTTTGCTTTGAACGCCTCCGTCCCGACCAAGACGGCCTAGTCCACAGTGCAGCTGATAATGAAAACATTTATATATTTTTACCTTCGATACACCAAGTACATGTGAATTTGAGGACAAAACATCCACTCATGAACATGGAGAAAACCCAGTTTGTAGTTGGCAGGGCTTTTTTCTCAAGTCATGCGATTTTTTCACGTCAAACCATCCGGAAATGTACTCGGTAGGCGACAATATGTGAAATATATTGTCAAAAGCAAGTATTATCACCGCCAAATGTCATCGTGCAGTGCTTGCAATTGTGGTGTGTTGTATGTAGGCTTAACTCATCGAAGACCAATAAAATGAGAAAGCTGTCTTATTCTTTAAATCACCTCAATATTGTCAAAACTTACTCGTCTGGCTTAAAGTATTATTGTCGATTGCATGGGCAATTATACATTTGCTTCATTTATGTCTAACTTGTCTTAAAAGTCACTTCTGCCAGTAGTTGTGTGGCATACTTGAAAAGTTTAATTTCATTTTAGTAAATGCCAACATTCACTCCCAACTTGGATGAATGGACAACAAACTGGTGTGGCTTTGGGTTTAGTTGCCATCTCCTTCAGTTCTACGTCGTCAGACGGAGCTCGACTTCACAATTTGGCCATGGCGACAAGGAGACCTTGTGGAACGTGTCCAGTCTTGCGTCGTCTGGTTTGCCAGTCATGATTGGTTCCAGCATCGGACCGTTTCTTTGCTGCCCTCTCAGACCATATTGTCGCATCGCCAGTGAGCGGCACCATTCTTGACGCCAATTCACAACTGGGATCTGAATGGATCTGGAATCCCCTTGGCCACTCCCTTCTCCGACCGTTGAAGCATCTACCCTCCCTATTATCCCACCCTTAAGCACCATCGTCCCATCTCTCTTCATTCGCCCAAATGTCGCTCTGGAGTGGATTCAGCCGTCAGAGAACTTCTGGATCGTGGTCAGCTCCGCCACATGATCACCCACTTCTCATAGTCTGTCAGATCATATTCGCTGCACATAAACATCATTGCTTTATTCACATGATCATCTACCATCCCCGAATCCGGACGCTATTTCGGTCATATCAAAAGATATATTCAAGGATCTACTCTGGATCAAAATTGACTCCGCCATTTAATCAGGCAGTTGACCAAACCTGTCAACTGGTATCCGCTGCACTTAACGATCACTGCCTTAGCTACCTGAACTTTTACAAGCCCCAGATCTTGACCGCCAGTTCTGTCGTAGTCAAGGCCTTATTCACATTGATGGTGCATGCCGGAAGTCGTCATGACGTCTATGGTCGAGGACGCAGGACTGCAGCCACGACCAATTGCGAAGACGGGGTTAGCCCACTAACATGTTACCGAGCGTGACATTATTTCATCTTTTACTTGTGGAATCTTCCATGCATCGAGTGCTGTATCCGCCTAATTACCTCGGATGCATAGACTTATACTTCATGACCACTTTTGGTGAGAGACTTGACAATTCGTCAATCTATTCTTTACCGTTAGCAATCTCTCAGGTGCATGTTTGATCAATCTGCTTCCTCTTGCTACACTTCACATAGTCACAGTCAAAGATACACTTGATTTGATGGATATTAGTGATGCCGGCGAAAACAATACTGCCTTTGGCGAAAGGAGTTATACCAAAACTGGTGACTGAGAAAGTATTGGGAATTGCGAATAAACTCCTTTCAGTGTCATTGGTCTTGATAAGGTCTAATAAGGTAGTTTGTTAACAGAATCGCCTTCCGCAAGATGGTGAAAAACATGGTGATTAACGTAAAAACATCTCAACTCGATAGCTACTGAGGTC